AGGGGGAGGCCTTGTCAGGCGGCTCCGAGCTGGCGGGGGTGCGCTCACCCCCTCGCCTTAACTTCCCACTCCCCCACCCCCCCCGCCTTATATTTTGCTTTTCTAGTTCATTACCGTTTCGATTTTTTTCGGGGTTGTCTTAAGAAAATTACTTTTAGATGCAGGTAACACCCTATTATTGGAAGCTTATCTTATCGGGGCAGTTCAACGGATAATGCCTGCAGGGGCACAGTTGCTCTAACAGATGAGTAGCCGTGAGGTGTCAGAGAGGACAAAATTCACTGCGCGTGTTAGAATTGCAATACGGAAGCCAAGTGTTACTGTTAGTAAACATTAGCACAGAATCCTATGAGATTTGTCGGGTGGTGAGTTGGAAAGAGTCCAAGATGCTTGTTTAGAAAAGATACCTCTGAATGGGCTAGAGAACTTACTGCTTGTTAAAGCTTGAGTGGTCCAAATGTATGTTAAGCTATGTTAGTGTACGTCAGCTGAGGATTTGGCTCAAGGTCCAAAGGTCCACTTTCGTTTTGGAAAATTACAAAAAGCCTGCTTTCTTGAGGTAGCTCTGTGATTCATTGATGATGCCTTCCAAGGCATTGTAAACCAAGGGGTAGATAGTTGCTGTAATCCTCCAAATTATGTGTCTGTGCTTTTCCCTGGGAGGCAGGAAAAGTGAGCCTTGAGCTGCTACCGTGTTCTTCCCAGCTGATGTTGAACTTACTGTGCTTCATAAGCTCTAGCCTGGCCTGTTTTGCTTGATTACTTTTAATTTATATGGTAGCTATCATTTCCTGTAGATCAAATTCTTTTAAAACGAAACCTTAAAAAAAGCAACACTTCACCTGCCTCTGATTCTACTGATGTATTGGCCCATCACTGCATAAAATAAATTTCAGGCAGATCTGCTGTTCTCACCTGTCTGGTTTCTTCTTTTCTCCTGTTTGGCCAGTAACTCACTCTGCTGTTTCTTCTGTGGGATAAACTTGGTGCAGGACACTGGACTCCATTAGGATTCAACATCCCTCCTCTGTGCCAGGAAGGTGGTGTTTCCCTTGACCATATTCTTACTTGTATGACCTGTGGAAATTTTTTCATCTGTGCTATTAGGTATTTTAGTAAATCTCCTCATTTACATTAAAAACAAATAGAACTGAAAGTAAGGAAAAAAGAGTGAGTGCAAACTTAAAACTAGTAATCAATGGGAAACATTCTGAAAGGAGGAAAACTATATGTAAGATAAAACGTGATTTCCAGATTAGTTAATGCAGTTTTAGTAAGTCTAAACCTGCTTGTGTTGAAAGGAAAATGTGTGCCTGAACTTGCATTAAATGATTAAGGTAGCTTGAGTTCTGCTTGTATCAGCTAGGGCATTTAATTTTTTGTGTCCAGTTCTGTTTCGAGTTCCAATGAGAAAACATACAGATAAAAGGTCAACTCCAAATGCATATGTTGCAGACTGATCAATGACATGTGGAAGAACTTGCAGTAATGCCTGGCACAACTTGACTGCAGAGCTGATAGTAAACGTCACTACAGCCAGGCTCATTCCTGGAAGTCTGAAAAACTTTGCTGACTAACTCATTTTAGACAATTCTGAAACGCTGTTCGAGATCTCTTATCACAAAGTACCAGCTTAAGTTAGCAGAATTAGATTCCTTTTTCTCTTGTATTTGGAAGAAGCTGTAGCAAAACAGTTGTTTCACTGGGAGTTGTAATTTACGTTAATTTTTTTCTCTACCTGATTGTGGCTGTCTCTTGCACACTCGAGTTATGTTCCTGTAAATTCTTGAAATGCCACTGTTTCAGTATTAATTGACAAGAAGTGATTTGCATAATGGTTTTTTTATTTAGGAGTTTTTAGAGAATGTGAATCTTGTTTTACCCATACTCAGTTCTGATATATTAAATTATGATGAACTGAATGTTCAAAGGGATTTGAAAGTATAAGTCTAGGCAGTCAGTTGAGACATCAGTGTGAAACTTCACACACCCCCAATCACCTCCTGTCTGTCTCTGCATCTGCATTCTTTAGCCGATTGCACTGCTTCTCATGTGCATGTCCCATGAACCCCAGATTTAACTACCAAATAACCTAATTCCTAAGTCGAGCAATGACACTTGCTGTTGTTCATCTGCTCCCTGTTCTGGCAGGCAAATTACACGCAAAAATACTTCAGGATTCCAAGGTTGCATCTCTTTGCTATTGTGTAATCTTTTCCTGCTAAATATTTGATTTGCAGAGGTACAGCACTTCTAAGCCTGTGGGAGTATCCACATAACACTGTGGATATTTACTGTCAAAATAACGAAAGCAGCAGCACAGCATGTGTATTTCAACAAAACATTTTTTCTTCCCTGGGACTAGACAATTCAGTTCCTGTTTAACTCCTTTCTTTGTTACAGAGGAAAAATATTAATTTGTAACTGTTCTCGGCATTGTTAATAGTTTCTCTGAGTATGCTTTAATTTCAAGATTTAAGTTGTTTCTTGCTACATCTGCCTTTCTGTGGTTTGCCATGGGTTTGCCAATGTTGCTGTGAAGGAAGAAACTTAAAACTTATATCCTGAAGAAACATGGAAACTTAGTTTGAGAGTCTTTGCTAGACTAGATTTAACTTTGTGTTCTATTCATGAAAGAGTGATTTTTAAATTTTTTTTTTTGTAACTTTATTTGGATGCAGGGCTGACCACACTGTCTTAGAAGAGTGATGAATAAAGATGATCACACAAGAAGAAAACATTTTAATTCCAGTTGTGAAACTAATTGGACTCTTAATTTCCTTTCTAACTTTTGTCGTCTTTCTCTCAATTTAATTTTTAAGGTAGTCCTCAGACAGTTCATCAAGTTCACCTGAACCCAGGAAATTCTGATAGTAATACTTACCAGAGTATTCAGCAGATGAGAAATGCAATGGAAAAAGAGATAAAGAGTGAGAGAACAAGAGGAAATGGTAGAGACTTAGCATTCACACTCATGCCGTTGTATGCTCTTGGAGTAGGAGTGTTTGCAGCATACAAATTTCTTAAGGTAAGCCATAAGAAAAGCATTAAATTACTGAAATTAGAAGGAAATGTAACTGGTTGGGGTTCCCCCCGCCCCCCAATTCTGATCCTATGTATATAGTTGTCCAAAAGCCATTTCTTGCTCGGTTTGACTTTGAATGTGAGCTCCAAAGTTAAAATTATAGCATATCTGATTCTTCCTTATGAAGGCTTTTGACTTACCTTTTTTTAGACACTTAAAGAAATGAGAACCTTACCTGCTCCCGCCCTGACCTCAGATAAGAATCTGAGAACATAAACAGTGCTGTTACCTGAGGCTGTAACTTAAGCCTCATCACTATTTCACTTCCTTTTCATTCTTCAGAATGAGATTGAGTATGGGAAGGAGATGGACGACTCCTGCAGAGTAATAGTCTTAGATTAGCACTTAGATAGAATAGCGAGTAGTCTAGACTTTTTACTTGGTCTTCTCATTTCGTCATGCAGCTGCAACATAGACTTTTATCCATGAAATGTGATACCTTTTCTACCATTAATAAATTAAGAAAGGAAAACACGTGATCAGTTGTTTGTTTTTTTTTTTTAAATATCAGTCTTGATATGTATTATTTATAGTAAGAGATATTACAGCACTTGCAATGCTGAGAGTGCACCTGGAACATTGTTGCTTGCCTTCAGGAGAAAAAAAAAAACTTAAACCTGAACAGGAGCAGAGACAGCATCTTCATTTCCATAGTCAGTTTCATATCATCTCCTATGTGAGAAGAATACAACAGCTTAGCAAGATGAACATAGAGGCTGAATTAAAAATAAATTTAATTAGGTTGTAAATAAGATTTAAACATCATAAAACCAATATTTTGGGTGTTACAACTCTTTATACTTGTGCTTGTGGGATTGAAATGTAAATATTTTTATAATAGCATCTTTATTACTTTAAGAAAGAAGGTTTACCTCCTAGTTAATGGTAGGAGACTGGATCCAGTAACCTAGAAGGTTGAACTTCTGTTCATTTTTGAAAACTGGAGCTGAAATAGCAACTGTTTTCTTTTACAGCTTTTGTCAGTCATGTCATCGCTTAAAATCAGAAGTGTTAGTTTAAGGTAGGAAGAAGGCATGGCAGGAAAAAAGTTTAATTATTAGAGCACATTTTTGTGGTCGCTATTTACTTTCAGTAAATTTCAAAATGCATTTTTATTTTTAATATACAAATAGTGATGAAGTCTTTTAACGTGATTGTATTTATTAAAGATGAAGTCACATGAAGAAAGTCTCTCTAAAAAGGAAAAAAGTACAGAAGACAAGGCAAAGGAAACAGGTAAGATACCCATTCAGAATGCGTATGTTCACCAGAAATGCGTATTTGCTGCTGGAACAAAGCTACATATTTTCATTGATGCAGTCTATCTAAACAAGAACGATCTTTTAAGTTACTTAAGTGCAGTTAGGAACCTACAAAACCCACTTTGTTATTGTGTATATTTGAAACACTTGTTAGAGGTTTGTTTGAAAACTCCAGATGGTAATATTCTTTAAAACAGCTATAATAATATAGTATGATTCTCTGCCTTTTAATGTCTGATGTTTTTCTTACTTAAGACCCGTTCAGTTTTCATCAGTAGAATAGGATGCTTAAATAGGATATAACAATCTTTAGAAGTAATAGGGTATTTAAAAAGGATGTAATGATCTGCTTTAGGATTGAACTCTATTGATAGTGGAGCAGTATGGATAAACAATTATAGAGACTGTTGAATTTCTGGGCCAAATTAGAGACCTATCAAAAGCATTAAATGTTTATAGAAGAGACAGAATAAATGGTGCCATCTTTTTCTTCATGATACAGAGTACTTTTGTCTGATTCAGTCTATTCTGCACATGCCAAGAAGTGGGCTTTCCTTCGGACAAAAAGTTATGGCACATCAAAGTTGAGCTGTTTTCATACTTTTTTTGCCCCTTGTGTAGACAGGTTTTTAGTTAATTTAACAACTAGCAGCCTCTTTTGGTGTCCCTGTACACCAGATTGTAAATCAGGTTCAGCAATGATTTGCTACACTGCCTACTCACCATCCTTGCACGTTGCATTCTTCTTTCTTCAAAGTTTGATAGTATTTTAGGTGGAGTTACTCATCTCAACTCTAGTGCACTAGGTGTTGAATATATTTGCAAGGTGTGAGTAGGCAAATTCGTGACAGTATATGAAATATAAATACACTACTTACACCTCAGGAAGTCTTGGAACTGCATAGTTTTTGAGGCTGGGAAGGTGAGAGCCAGATTCTCACTCAGTTTCTACCAAGATGTCCTCTGTTGGACACTATTGGAGATGGGTTATTGGATGAGAAGGACTTCTGGTCACACGTAGTAAGACTTCTGTTCTTACCACCACCACTCCCTTTTCATATTCTAGAATTTTACAGAGAAAAAAACCTTCCTGTTTTTGAATCTGCCCAACCAAAATGTAAATTAATATCCTTTTGGTATTGTAAATCCATGTCTTCCAATGTTCTCTCTCTCCTGCCTTGCCTCTTCTTCCCCCTCTCTACTCCTCCCTCTGCCTCCCTCCTTTTTTTTTTTTTTGCTTTTGTTTTTTGTTAGAGCATCAGCTCTTAGAACTGGAGCAGCATCTAGCACAGACAGAGAAAATGTTAAATTCTTTATTGACTCAGCTGGATCCACTGTCAAACTGGTGAGTGTTTCTAAAACATCTCAGTTAGTATTGTTTTCTGTAAATTGAAATTCTCCAAAATGTTAACAAAGAGTTCTTAAAATGTTCCTTATGTATAAGCAGGGAACAGTGTTTCGGAACCTTCTTTAATTACTTACTGTTTCTGTAGCCTTTTGCAGGTAATACCTGTTCTGCCATTTGCAGTCTTTTCACAGACACCTCCTCTGTCTTGTTCACCAAACATAAATGTAAAAGCTCAGACTTACGATGAAGTTACTGTAGCTTAACAACTTAAACTTTAATGTGAACCATTTTCTGTAGACTGACATTTTCTGTAGACTGACATCCTTCATGAAGCCTAGTTGAAAACATGCAGGATTTCATGATTGTTCCTTTAGTGTACTTCTGAACTTAATATGTGCTGAAATTATTAAGCAGCAAATTCACTGACCAATTTGCCTAAAAAATTTCTAGTAGTGATGGGGAGGAGAGAGAGTAAACAAAATCTGAAATAAATGAGAAAAACCGCTAAACTGTAAAGTTCTGTGTTAGACATTGTTGTCCTCAAAATAAAATTACTTTGGATAATTGTTTCTTTCAGTAGTCATTACTCAACCTTGGCCATTGGGGCTCCAATGTTAGAATTCAGCAACTAGATTATTCAGTGGGTGTAGGTGATGGGCTCCCCACTTCTCAAGGGACAGTTCTCAAGGAAAAGCTTGACCTAAACGTGTTGCTAACTTAACTATTGTATTTATCCACTGAAGGAAATATTGCAATCTTGTGCATTATTATCAAGCACTCACTTCCAAGGTAATCTTTCAGCTGTTGACATCTGTCTTTTTTTCTAGTGTTAATGCTTTAGCTTGTGAGCAGAAAGATGAAATAATGACACAGCTCCAGTCAATTAGACGACTGATGAAAGAAAGTGGATTGGATAAATCAGAAAACAAGATGAAAGGTACTTTGATTTCCGGTAGGATAGATAACTAAGTAGTTTATATTTTAAAAGCATAAACAGATCTTATTATAATAATGTTCAGCTCCTGCATCCTAGGTAATGTGTGTGGAATTAATTTTATTCTGGAGGACTACCATTCTTCCTGTTTGAGGTGTATCTAATTTCAAATTTTTGGTATATCGTAATTTTTTTTTAAGAATACGTGCTAAAAGACATTGAGCTAGGATAGACCACACAGTCACGTTCTGCTTTGTTAAAACTGGCTTCTTGAATGTGAGTTCCTGAGCAGTCTGTTAGTATTGGATTAACTTTAGTCTGAGGATTCCTAGGTAGGGACCTCTAAGGCTGTGGATAGTGCTTGCATAATATACTAAACAGCAAATTGTGTATTAGTTTCAACTGGAGACTTCCAAGAGGTGCATAGTAGTCCAGGTGAAATCTTAAATGTTAAGAATGGTTCACTACAAACTTGGGGAATTTTGCATTAGATGAGTCTTAATAAAAGAGAGAAAACATAACAAAAAAATATTCTACTTCTAAACTGACCCTGAAATTTTGAGCCTTTCTAGTAATTTAAACTTTCATTTTGGTTTTTTTTGTGAATTAAGATGTCAGCCACATTTGTAATGAGAAACTTGAAGATCTCATTCAGTCATTTGCTGAACATTCTCAAGAGGAAGAAACAGATGATAGAGTAGATGACAGTAATGAAGATTTGCTTGAGGATGTTGATAATGATTACAGAATAGAAAAGCATGAATTATATGGCGAATGTGAAGTACATCAGTTTGAGCCAGATGTGGTGGAAGACCAAGAAGTGATAAAGAAAGATGCCACTGAATCAGAAGAGATGGGATTGAGGAGACGTAATAGATATGAATGAAATCTGCATACATGAAACTTTCAAAAGCTTATGAATTTTTTTTTTTTACAATGTTGTATGCACTTTAAGCTGTTTTGAATGAAGTTATGTGCACTGCTGTATGCTTTAAAAGAGGGGTGAAATACTGCCTGTGCTCACACCTATGATAGTTCTGTAACTGACTTCAGTGGCAGCAGAATTTCACTCAGGATGTTTACATATTTTTTTTCTATTTATTTTTTCCTATAAAAATATTTCTGTACTCTGTATATAATGCACTGTAATTATATCTGATGCTTCACTGAAATATTGGAATATCTTGTAATTAAGACTATAAAGAATAGATGTTTCATAAATGTTTTCTAACTAGTAAGCATGGTGCCACTTGAACTGTGACTTTCTTGAGTTCATTAAAGAGCATGCACTGATGAATTTAGCTCTTTGTGGAAAACTTTCCTTGAGGGGCGGGGAATGAAAAGCAGTACAGCTTAAGTCTTAGAGATGCATTTATAGACAAGTTTCTTTGGAGAGAGAAATTTAGCCACAGACACTATTTTAAAATAATTATGTCTCAGTTTGCTGTCTCCTCAGGAATGATGTATAGTTTTGTATGTCAATTTAAACCTTAATGTTTTACGCTGGATCACAAAATTTCTTCCCCACCTGCCACTTGTTAAACTCAGCAACTGCCTAATAATTGATTGATACACATTAGTACTAGTATTCCTGCTTCATACATATTTTAACACTATAGTGAATCTGGCCTGGTAATACACTTTTTCTTAAATCAGTATTAAGAGAAGGATTGCTACATATCATTCAAGAACTGTGGGGCTTTCTTTTTTCAATACATTATGCCAACTCAATAGTGGCTTTTTTAGGTCAGTGTTTAGAAAAGCATTTTTTTCCTTTGCCAGAATAATTTTTGTCCAGACCTTTATTTTCTACTAATTTTTTGTTCACTTAATGCGCATGCCTGTGAAACGGCCACCCTTTAATGCCAGGAGTTACATAAGAGGTAGGTCTGACAGTACAATGCTGTTAAATTTCCTGTTTTATAATTGCATAGCTTTTAAGTAGGCCAGTTAAAACGCCTGAACTCTTCTGCCATCTTTTTTCTTACAGGAAAATAACACTTGGATTTGTTTTTATGGAGGAAATGTACTGTAGTTAAAGGGACCAAAACTATTACTGTGTCACTCACTGAAATGGAATGAATTGTTCATTCTTGTGTAGAAACATGGTACGTCTTTGGTTCTAAAAATGGATCTCACAGGCTTGAAAGTAGCAGCATCCAGAAATACATCCTTGGTGTCAGTTTATTTTTAGTTTTGCGATAAGTGAGATTTTGCCTAACTTTGGAAAACTGATTGACCAGAAAGCCAGGGTTTCTCAAGAGGTGACAGATTTTTCCCCAAGACAGAACAGATGAATCAGAACTGGTACTTGAACACACTTTGATTTTTAAAAATAACTGGTGTAGGTCTGGTCATTCAGGACAACTGGAACTGTTTAAAAAAAAAAAGGTAATCGCAGAGAGGCTATCTTCTGAAGTCTAACTGAAGTGAACTGAAACTAATTTCAAAGGCTTTGATCAGAAGGAATGAAGGAATGGGAACCAGGCGTGCTGTGCTGCCGTGGCGTTTGCTGTTTGTGTCTCCATCGCTCGTCCTGCTGTGAGAGCTGGCGTGGATGCGGGTAGGTACTGCTGCCTTAGGCGCTGCCACTACTGCTGGTGACCTTACCCGCAGGATCTCACTGCCTCGGGCAGCGTCAATCACCAGTGCTGTGGCTTTCGCATTCACTAGTCTTTCGACGCTGCTGCTACTCGAAGCCTTTGTCCGTAAGGCTTTGAGCTACTTCGGGGTAACAGCTGTATGTCCGACCCAGGGCTACAAACATTCACCGTGAGCCCTGTTGCGGCTATTCTGGAGTCCCCGGTGTCCGCCGCCTGGGTTAGTTGAAGACACGCACCTGTGCAACGCCTAAGTGCCCAGGGCCGGCAACCGCTGCGC